GAAGCATAATTAATAATTAAAAAATTCACCCCTTCACGTTAAAAAATAGGGTAAATAATATTTAATTCCGCGAAAGATGTGATAATAACTTGTTAACCCCAGATTTCAAGCGGTTGAGTACAAGTCTATAAGAAAACCCGACAAAACAAAACAAAAGCAAGTCGAAGTTTGAAGGACACACTCTGTTGCTCTAGTAGATAAGACTTATTGTGATTTGGTCCACCGGAAATAGCCTGGACTTCACGTTCTCAATCTTATTGGGTTTTCCGACATTTTTATCGAGTAATTTTTGATCTCGACGTACTTATATTTACTGATAACCCTAGTATCTAGTTTTTGCAACTTATTAAATCGGGCAACTGTTTTTTGATCTTGCATTAATGGACTTTTAATGGAATTATTCGTGAACATAGAAAAACGCATTGTAAGAATTAATTCTATTTATTGTGAATAATCTGTTTTGCATATTAGTACATGACTAACCCCCTTTTATCCCCGTAGATGATAAAGTAAACAATCTTTATAAGCCACATCATGTTTCATTTGTAAATTGTAAATGCGTTGTTACGAATGTTCAAATTAGAGTTTAGATTTGAAAAGTAAACAAACACGTTTGTCAGTGTCCAATCGTCTGCCAAGACTAGCATTGTTAGAGATATAAACACAATCTGTTATGCTCGCTGTGATGGAACAGGGAAAGCTGGCGAGTGCCGAAATTAGCGCGGAAGCGCTCGACTGCCTGTTAATTCATTGAGAGCTATTTATTCCCATCCCTGTAAGTATGATGTATCGGTGTTTGAAAGTATCTTTCTTCGGATGTTGAGATGGTAATTCGTCAACATTTGTAGAATCTTGGCGACTGATATTCGTAAATGCTGTGTTGGTCGGCTGCTACAAACCCAACCACCTTCGGTAACGGCTTCCCTTAAAGTATGAATCACTTTGACAATTTTCACTAGATTTTAAGAGGTCTTCACCTACTAATGTTGTTATTGTGACCATAGTGCCTAGCTAAACGTCTAAACATAGGTGCATGCGGGAATTAAGTTCCTAGCACGATTTAACTTCACTCTAAATGCAATTGTACCAACACCAAGCGTATTTTGAGTGTTTGGAAATAAATTATACCGCTTTCTTAACACCAAATGTTTAGTAGACATAAAAAAAAAACTGATAAATTGGTTTCTTACGTAGCCTTTGACCGCCCCGATATATTTTATTTGTCTCACAGTTATTATGAAGTTCAATTGTGTGCAATGCTGTTTTGAACAAGTAGACGACCAATTGCTCCAATTAGTCAAATACTTGGGATTTATTTTATGTGTCTGGCGATTTGTCTTGCCGCGTGCATTACGGTTTGGGAAATATGACCGATTCCTTGGCCTGACTCGCGGGGTTAATAGACAATCAAACGCCGACTGACTGGCGCTAGATCGAACGATGGAATCAAACGACGGACCGCGACTATCAAACGAGACATTGAGCGATTAATAGCCAGTCCATACAAAGACTGTAACAATTTCAAGCTATGCTAGTTGTCACATGATGACGGATTAATCAAAAATTCGAAACGTCGTTAAAAATTGTTTACAGAATTTGTTTAAAAATTCTATCGATATTTTCTATGTTTTATTTTCGGATGGAGTCGTATTTTCTTCAATATTTTCTAACAAAATTTACAATGTTGCAGGTTAAGACTGTTATTTTTTAATTAATGTGTGCCCTAAGTAGGCTAATTTGGGTTCAAGTGGAGAATACTTCAGAATCTACGTTATATGAATTTTATTTCGTAAAACTTGTATCCAAGATAAAAATCGTTACGAAAGATGTAGTAGAATCATTCACTACTTTATTTGGTTTTATGCTTGATGAACAAAAATAAGTTTTAAACTTTCAAGAAAGCTATCCAAAAGTAAATATTCGACGTAACTAAAACAATCGACAAAGATATCTTGAAATATTAAACTTTTGCGATAGTTTCTCTGCTTGATATCGAACTTTATCACTCAAACAGCAGTTTTGGAATTGGCAATACAAACGTTTAAACTCAAATTGGTCGGAAAGCAAACGCATGTCGTTAAATTCCCAGATGTAGTGATCAATAATATGTTTGGTTTTTACTAGTTAAGTTCAGCTTTGCTTAAATTAACCACACAAAATATTAAAAGAATTGTCCGAATCGGTTGTGAAAAATAACATTAGGTTCCCATACTGCTTTTTGGTGAAAATATATCATCATCATTATTCTCATATTCTCTTCATGCCGAATATTATCAAATAACATTGAGAAACGCATCAAACACTTTTGATAACGATAACATTAAGACATTATTAGATGTAGCTACTTCAAATTTCTCAGTTATATCTTTTTAATAAAAGACAATTTTTATTATCCTAGATTTAAATTATTTGTCCCCAAGAGAGTTTTGAACAATTCTAAAATATTGATGTATTGATTCAAAACGGTAAGCACATTTCTAACGATCGAATTGTGTGACAAATTCCTGATCCTCAACAAACTGAGTTATGCCCTACTTCCATTTATAAATGTAAGATTAATATTCGTCGGACCTGGCGTGTGCTCAACTGTATATGTTTGTTTGTGATAAGCCACAGACGGCAATTTGACCGCATAGTCGCTCCAAAATACAGTGATTACCACCGACCCCCATACCCAACCCAACGCAATTCTCCTAAGTTCTCAACAAACTAGATTGATACGACTCCGATTTATTTTCTGCAATAGGTACAAACTGGACAACCTAAAAAAAACTAAAACAGAGGGTGTCTCATTTTTCATGTTTTTTAGTTGGTATTGAAGTACGTATCACGCATTCATCTGAATAAAACCATTGTTACGTAATTATCAGATTTGTCTCATTGTTGTCTTACGTCCCTGAAAGATGTTTGGAATCCGGTGTTTTCACAAGTCTTTAAAGTTAAAACAGTTGTATAACAATCGGGATTTTCGTTATCGTGCTACTGTAGTGAACATGAAATATATAAGTTATTGGCATGTTTTTGCGTCCATTTATTATATTTTTATTGATTTTTTCACTACAGCACAGCCCTCCGAGTGACGAATCGCTGTCCAAAGCGCGCCAAACACGATGGAAAACACCCGTTAAAAATTCATGTCCAATCGAGACCACGTTGAAATATGCAAAGAGTTTATCGTTCCGTCATTTATTTATTAAAGGAGTATTTATATTTTACTGTCGGCTTGTTTCGGAATGTAGTTTGGTAACTGTTCGCTCTAATGAAAGAGTGTAAATCGGAATTGAAATCTGGGAAACCGTTACGAATAAGTTTTGACGAGATGATTTCAGTAATTTAATATTTGTTAACTTTGTAAACAATCTTTTGTAGGTTTCTTCTCATCATCGTTTGCTAAAACTATAAATAAAAGCTCAATTATCTTTTGCAAACATCTTTTGGATTGTTGAATCATTTGAAACATTGAACAATTCTTTACTTGGGGTATCTTGAAATTAATTAAACACGGAATAACTTTTTCGTAGTCAGAATTGTAAATCACAAACAGTATATTTGCAAGAATTGTATTTCAAGGAAACACGGGTATTTTCTGACGCTAATTTAAACAGAGGGTCTGCTAGCACACTATTTTAAATCGTAAAATGCTTAAATAATTGTAAATTAATATAAAATAAAATACCCCCGCTGCAGCAAACCTAAGCGAATTTCCATTTGCCTGATTGGATTTACACTAAAATATCTCCTTAAAAATATTACATTTATTTTCTATTTTAATAACGTTAGTTTAACGAGTACTTAGGTTTGCTGCAACAGGGAGGGTAAAAAGGCGATTTTTTTTATTGTAAAATGTTTATAGTTTAGTATGAAATGAATGCATTTTCCAAATTTGATCAAAATATGTTCATAAACAAGCAAACTACAACAGTTTACTTATTCTATTCTCCATAAAAATAACATGAGAATTTTAAATTAACAGATTTTTAAAATTTTCTCCGTAACCATTAGGCGCATAATAACGCTTCAATATACTAAATTATTTGTTTTTTAAGCTTTAGAAAATGGTTTTGAAAGAAATTGCTAAATTTTAAGTTTTTAGGGTCAAAACCTCCATAAACCCCTGTTCCCATAGTCCGATCATGCTGGTTCGCGAACTCGTTCGCAAAAACGTAGGTTTACACGTTTGTACCAAATTTCATCAAAATCGGATCATTTTTGCTCGAGTTATCGTGCTAATGGACACACATATATATATTTATATATATGAATTTGAACGGATGGTGTTTTTGGCCTCTAGGGACATCAAAACGAAAAAGTAAATCGGTCCCGGGTCCAGGTCTTACCATGAGTACTACGGTAATAGCGTATTCCCTATATGGGAAATTTGCTAAAAATGCTGTTATTCCTGCCATTTGTGTGGCGCCGTACAAGCGAGCAGCGGCTACCTACATACAGCAATGTAGTGCGAGTGAACCTCATACCACTTTACATTTAATGTAGTACTTAACATCACATAATGTATTGCAGATCTTATCGCTATTATTGTACACGACAGAACCACCAGAACCTGCCACAATTGCTTTCGTTGCAATATGCAATATGCTTATATTTATCGAAACCAATTAATTATTTAAGCAAGTTTTCAATCCTGGTACCTCACAACTGCCTCTATTGCGAAATGCAGAAAGTTTTAAATTTATTCGTACAGATTCAATTAAACTGGCTATATATATATATAGGCTTCCAATAACGGAACAAAATATGCAAAATATAGCATAATAGAGATTTTATAAGTATTTGATATAATTAATTGGTAACTTAGTTTCTAATAGTTTTACAAGTTCAATATATTTTATCAACAATTAATTAATTGATTAACAAATTAATTAATTAAAAGTAGACATCATGAAACAAATTATCTATTAAACTGATTTTAAGTTATTGGTACAAAATATTGCTAAACACAAACAACAGTAATTTCCATGAAAATTGTGTTTTTGTTACAGCTCTTTCCAAGAATACCTAAGATGTTCACATGCTATCGTTATGGACACTTGTGGAGAAGAAACTGCAACCTTTACCAAAGGATTTTTGGATCGAATGGCATCCTCTCTCATTCAGGTAAATTGGATAAGGGATAAAAAAATTATCATTATTTACATGGAAACACCTAAATGAGATTAATTATAATTTTGGAAATTTAGCCTAACTATAATATGTGCTAGATTAATCCATTAAATAATATTTATAGATCTTACTGACAACATTTAACATTATTTTAATTGTTATATCACCCTCTATTAGTTAGAATTTGAAAAAAGTGGATCTAGGCCTAATATCTTCAATTTTGACCTCACATAATTAATTGAAATTAACAGACTTTGTTATATTTTACAAAGTCGCCATAAAGTTGAATATAAGCCAAAGAATAACTTGAAAATAATTCAGTTTTCTAACAAAAATATTCAAACTTATACGCTTAAAGCTTAGATTCTTCAAAGAAATACTTTTTGAGCGTTTGTTTGCCTAAATACCCAACACAACAATCATTTGATCAGTTTTGAAACATCACAGGGGTCAAGTGTGGCTATCTGAGTGCCCCTTTGATATGACCTTTGTCACGTTTTGCTGATTCTCACTACCTTTATCATCATCCAAATACAATTAATCACTCCAATAGAAATGTCATTAAAGTCGATGATACAGCGATAAAAAAAGGAAATCTTGTAATTCTATTAATATTTTTCAGAGAAGCTATATTTTAAATAAAAGTTAAAACCCTTATATTGCTCAATGTTGTGGTCTGGCTCCCAGATTTGTGAGGAAGACATCAGCACAGCTTCTCTCATCTGTGTCTTCCTCTCTTCTTTTCTATTCTCTTACCTAGAGTCATACATTTATGTTCACTAATGGTATTTTCCCACAGGTCCATTGTGAGAAGTACCCCTCTGGCTCCCAGATTTGTGAGGAAGACATCAGCACAGCTTCTCTCATCTGTGTCTTCCTCTCTTCTCTTCTATTCTCTTACCCAGAGTCATACATTTATGTTCACTACTGGTTTTTTCCCACAGGTCCATTGTGAGAAGTACCCCTCTGGCTCCCAGATTTGTGAGGAAGACATCAGCGCAGCTTCCCTCTCATCTGTGTCTTCTTCTCTCCTCCTCGCTTCTCTTGCCCTGGTTTTCCTCCTGGTCCATCGAACGTGAATGTACCTCCTCCTAGACATCCAATTTTATGCTTAGCCGTCCGTTACCTCAGAATTCTGGAGTCAATGTTTATTTAGTGTTAGTATTTAGACTTCCTATTAAAGACCTGGTTTTGTAGATCTATTTATACAATTATGCTTTAACTCCAGGATCCGAGCTATTACATAGTCATGTTATTTCTGCGAAGAGCATTCCTAAATTGGATACATAATTTTTCATTTTGCTCAACATATCGGCTATAGTCTGTACCATATGATGAAACTTGTCTCGGTGTCCTTCGTCTACTTGGGACTAACTAACGGTTTAAAGGCTCGGGCCAGTCCCAAATAGACATAGGGTCAAGAGACAAACTCCATCATACAGACTATAGTATTTCTCGTAGGTACGTTATCTACTTACCTTTGTAAATACGTTTTCGCAAAAGATACCTTGTATGTAAGTAACATCCTTTTAGTGTAATTAATTGTTAAAAGTATTTAATCGTTAAATGTTTATTGTAAAGTGAATTATTTTAGTATATTTTTCAGGTAATTTTAGCACCCAAGGTGTGTCCTGTGTCCAGGGTTTCTTATTGTTAATGTTTCAATATTTTAAATGGATGTGAAAATTATATTTAAAATTTTACTTGTCGAGTTTCACAATTTGTTATGATTGTTTAACTTCAAGTAAGTAAAAGCAGTAGAACTGTTTATCATATCTTGTTTGTATATATATATTATAATTTTAGTAGTACCACAAAAAATTACCAATTAAATATTATCTTATTATCTTAAATGGATAACTCTCATAATTAGTATATAATACCATATCAAATTAAAAACACAAGTTTCTTGTGGAACTTTTTATGTCTTTCATCGAAACATTCCATTGGAAACAATGAATCCTAGCCGATTAGAAGACTGCATAGGGAGTATAGAGTTATAACTAGTCGCAGTTAACTTTGAACAAATGTTAAATACAAGTTTAAAATGTTCTTTACTTTTCAAGCCGACTAACTGCTTTGTCTATCTTGCAAAATAAACTATTTTTCTTAAGTTTCCTTTGAAAAATCACTCTCCTTGTAAAAATTATAAAAGGAAAACTTGTATACAATATATTAAACTGTCTGGATTGACATTTTTAGTAAATTTTATCCTTAAAAAGTAATTCTTGCTTCTCATGTTTCCTGTGCATTTTTTTGTTAAAGATTTCCATTAATATTTCTTATGTCTCTTTAAATCAGTACACATGATGAGTTGTGGTGCAAAAGTACTTTGCATAGAGGAAATGAGAGTGATGCTGATCGTCCAATAGTTAACCTACATTTAATTCCTTTATAAGATAAGTTCCTCAGGTTTAGTTACCAACAGGTTGTGATGAGATGTACACAAATTTATATTTCCAAATTGCATATTTAGTGATCAGATTTAGTACACTTTCAAGATGAGATCAGGAAGCTATATGAGAAATCAATAAATAACCAAATACTACTCTTATTTAATGGTTAAAAATGATCAAATTTATAAACAATAAAGGGTATGATGTTTTGACTTGTTCAAACATATCTATCAAGTAATTGTACCTAATTTTGTTCTTTAGGCCACAAATGTTAAATCAGATTACTCAGTATGCTAATTGGAACTAATAAATATTTACTGTTCAATAATAAAAATAATACTGCTGGTTTATACACATTTGATAAAATGTTTCTTGAAGTGTGTTCATTCATTTATAGTTAAAACTGTTGATGCACCATTTAAAATATGCTTGCCAATTGAAGAAAAATTCTATTCACATAGCAGTGAAATTGTATTTTAACCATTTTAATTGCATGAAAACATAAGTTCTAAAATTATTTATACCAGGTACCTTGCAATATAATATTTTTAAGCATAATTTTATTGAAGTATATTCAGTATTTATTTTTTTATGATATTACAATCGATGATCTATCCAGCAATAATGTAGTAATTTAAATTATTGCAGTTATGTTAAAGAGCACGAGTTTTGTAACTAGAAGTAGTATCTAGTCCTTAGAAGAGTTGAAGTCTTAGTTTCTGACTGCGCTCTCTATATAGTAAGTGTGTGCGAGTATGTTCATATGTGCTGCATGTGTTGTGTCGTTTGTAAGTAAAAGTGTACGTATGTGAGTTTTGCTTTAAGCCAAAAATGCTTGAATGGCTTTGAACTCTGATACTCTCACTTTCCAAATATTGTATGGGACCACCAAAAATTTCCATCATTTTACAATCAATTTTCTTCAAATACTTAAAGATTTTAAAATGTTCAGCGTCATGTTGTGTTTCAGAGTAAAAATATTTTCAAGTAATATTTTACTACATCTGCAACCAAAATCGTATACGATAATAAAATCTAAATGGAGAAATTATCTCGGAAAATATTATTTTTTATTTGTATCTCACAAAAGCCTGTAGTTTTATTGATTTTTAAAAAACATGTTTTAAATATATACATAATATGTTATTTATTCAAATATAAATAATCGACTAAGTACTCAGTTTCGTGAGAATGTAAATAGGATATTAAGTTATATTGTATAAACAGAATGAAAGGAATAATAGAGAATAAGTGTGTTAGTTCAGCTTTCCAAGGGTCACTCTTGCACAGAGCAAATCACTATTATTGTATTGTTAAACCAAACCCAGTATTGCAAAGTGCACCCCAAGTATTAATTCATAGTACTTTGTTAATTTTGTAAATAAACGTGTATAACTAGTTTACATAGTTTCAATTGTGTTTGGATAAACTTTTGAAATAATTGTTTAATAAAAAATATTAAATTATGTGTTTGTGTTTTTATTAGTTCTGATCCTGTGAGTAAATTAGTTATTTATTGGTAAGAATTTGTCTTCGATAAAAGTCCAATTCAAACTGTTTAGTTTCAGATAAGGTAAAAAGTCATTGAAACTGTTTACAATTTGCAAACTCTATTGTTTACAATATATGTTCTACAAAATATAATAATCAAAGACTTGTAAAGTAATATCCAAACATTTCTCTTTTTCAGTCTGTTCTAATTCACAAAACTGGGGAGGAGCCTCAGTCTAGATGAATTCCTTATAATACTTTGTCCCGTCTGACTATTTCCATTGGTTTTAATTTCACTATCCTCCTCCTCTATTTTCAACATAGGTTTAGTTTTAGCGAATTTCGCTATAGGGAAGTTGCTATGACCAAAGGTCTCATGGTAAGACCTAGACCTGGGACCAATTTACTTTTTCATTTTGAGGTCCTCAGAGGCAAAAAACACCCTCCATTCAAATTCACATATATATAGGAGTCTGTTAGTGTGATAACTTAAGCAAAAATGATCCGATTTTGATGAAATTTAGTACAAACGTGTAAACCTACGTTTATTCGAACGAGTTGTGAACCAGCATGATCGGACTATGGGAACGGGGGTTTATGGCGTAAAAATTGGTTTAAAAAACAAGTAATTTAGTATATCAAAGTGTTTTTGTACGGTTTATTAATAACAAAGAAAATTTAAAAAATGTTAAATTTAAAATTCCTTTGATATTCTTATGGAGAATATTGTAAAATGTTGTAGTTAGCTTGTTTATAGATATATTTTGATCAAACTTGGCGAATTAATTTATTTTATACTTAGCTATTAATATTTTCCTAAAAACCACACTTTATTAGTTTCTTTGTAGCAGCAAACCTAGGTACTTGTTAAGCTTATGTTATTTTAATTTAATTGAAAATCAATTCAGATAAATGGAAATTCGCTTAGTTGGCAGGTTTGCTGCGGCAGGGGTATTTTTCTTTTTATGGTGTGTATGTTTTTTCTTAAAATAATATTCAACTTACTAATAAGAATGAGAATCACTTAATTTCTTAGTAATGACACCAGAATTCCAAAATTTGGTATTAATATTTTGTACGGTACCTACTAGAACCTCTTCTCCCACTTGGAATTCATCTTCTTTCCTCAAGGCTGATTTATACCTTTGTTTGTGATTCTTTTTATTTCCAATTATTCTTTCATTGTACTTGCCTCAAGAGAAACCATTTTAGACTGTGGATAACTGTTAGGTATCGTAGTTTTGATCCCATCTGTCTGCTGTTTTAAAGCGGAGACGGTGAATACTCTAGGTTTACAAAACAGTTTAATAAGAGAGATAAGTTTAATAAGAAGAGTACAAAATCCTGTTTACTTTCAGCACTCTGTAACATATTCTTTACAGCCCCCACAGATAGTTTTCTGCTAGTCTATTACTTTTTGGTCAGTGAGGAAAGAGGATTTGATAAAATAATTGTAAAATTTCCAATTGATAGAAAATTGTTTCATTTCATAGCTTGATTATCAGCCACAAAGTACATAGGGATCCCATTTCGACTAAAAGACTCTTTGAATTGACCAATTATTGCATTATTGTTATTACTCTTCAACTTAAAGACATATGAATTTAACGTAAATAAAAGTCAACGTTTACAAGATAGTAGTTACCTGCATTTCAGCAATATCAGCTCTAATCTTAAGGAAGGGTAGATGAGGAACACTTAAGTTTCATTCAATTTTGAATGTTGGTATTTCATGCATATGGAACAATGAAATACTGTATTTTTATGTCTATTGACTTTCCTGGACACTAAAAAAATAAATTGGTAGTTTTCAATATTTAGGTAGTTCCCAGCCAACTCTCGTGTAAGTGTGATAGTATAAACTTCCTGAGTTTACTAGGTATTATAAGTCTGTCATAAAAACAGAGTAATCCATCTTGATGAGTTACATCACTTCCCATTTTGAAATAATGTTTTAGTTCACCATCATTAACATATTTTGGCCATTGGGTTTTTGTAAATTGTATTACTTTATTTAAAACATCACCGTTTATAGTTTCTTCTTTAAATTCCTCAAGTCTTCTCTCACTAAACTTCACTTGAGAAGACCGTTCCGAGATAAAAAAGTCAGCGACATGCATGTGTTTTAGTTTAAAGCTGTACTATATGATTAATTTAAGTCGAAACCTTCTGATTCTGTTCACTGTCAATGGACAAAAAAAAGGTAAATAGTCAGTAAAAATTGTAACATTTTCATTCCCAAATATAGCTATGATCCATTGCTAGAAAACAAATAGCAAATTATTCTTTTCCAATCTGAGCATAATCAACTTCTGCTGTGGTAAGACTTGTAGAAAAATAACTAGGCCATTTTGCATACAACACTCTACCGAATCCTGTGATGTATCACACTGTATTTCAATAGGGAAAATATGGATCAAAATCCAAAAGACTAGATCACTAAGGAGTTGATTTTTTCAGGAACCTTAGAATGATGTTCATACCATTGCCAGGGAATATCCTTCTTTTAGTAACTCTCTAATAGGCTATGTTAGTAAACCCAAATTAGGGAAAAAGTTTTGGAGGTGATTTACCATAGATACAAATCTTTACAATTCTGCCTTGGATGTTGGAGTTTCAACATTTATTGCTACTATTTTTGCAGGATCTGGCATGCATACTTGTTCACTGAATACAGCACCAATCTATTCACCTTATTGACACTGTATTGCATTTTACTATAATTAAACCTAATATCATCTTGCTCTTTCCATTACCTGTTTTAGATTTTTATCATTTCTCTTTTTATTATCAATCAGTAGTAATACTCAAATCATCAAAATATATTGAAAGCCCTTTAATTTCTTCGAAATATTTGTGTACTAATCTATAAAATATTTCAAGGACATACGAAAGGCTAAAAGGTGCCCCAAAAAATCTGTTAGTTCCAAAGATTGTACGGAATGAGCACAGTTTACTCAATTTTTCATCTAGTTTGATATGATACAAACTGTCTTCCAAATCTAAAATTGTGAAGTATTTTTCATTACTAAAGTTTTGAGCCAGGCCCCTTAACAAGTCAACATAACTCAACATAACTCTCTCTAATGATATATTTATTAAGTTGTGTTGGATCAATACAGATTCTTTCTTTTGGCTTTTCTAGTACTAGAATATTATTGACCCATTCAACAAACTCTTTAACCTGTTTTATACTTTAATTGGCAACCAGGCTCTTTCAAATTTATCTTTAATTTAGTGAGATTCTTCTAGCTGAACTTACCTGGGGTATGCCATTTTCCTTTGTCGATGGCAGGACCACCAAGAGACCACAGTGAATTAGATTTACCATTAGTGGATTTGAGACAGCGAAAGTTCCTGCAAAAAGTTAACAGCAATAAAAACGCTTCATTGCACTGTTTTGTATATGCCTAATGGGCTTGAAGGCACCTTGTAAACTTGAAGAATGTGCATACTATATTTATTTACTCAATATTTAATTCCATGTTCTCGTTGAAGTTTTTACAATTACAATAGTTGTTATTACAGAGATAAAAACACAGCATGAAACAACAAAGAGTTACTAACGGTTTTAAATAAAGACGGAGTGATTTCATTTCAATATGCTATAATGATTTTCTAATATTTCTATTTTTTTTCATAAAGGAAGTGTGTAACAGGTTGTACCATTATAGTTCTAATACAAATAAATTAGGTAAATGTGGAATGAAGATAGATTATTGTGTAGTTAAGGACACCCCGAATCTTTTAGATGAATAAAGTTCCAGAATTTAAACATCTTATTTTCCTTCACATAAGGACAATTAATTCATTAATTGGCATATCAATTGTTCTTTGTTTATAGTTTCAATATTTAAAATTCTAGATGAGACTTTAATTCTTTATCCATTTGATCTCATTTTATTATAAAGCTTCAAAACCAAAAGCCAATTCTACAGGGTGTCACAAAAAAGTGTGATGGGCTATACAGGACCTAATTCTACATGCAAAAATAAGTCAAAAATGAAGAATAAATTTTTTTGGATTTCGGCTTAGTTTAGCCGTAGTCCACCATTTTGGTTCTTGGGGAAAATATTTATTATTTCAAAATCCCTTTGAGATATTTTTACGAAACTTGGCAAAATTGTTTACACTATAGTAAGTAACATTTATAAAAAAAATATTATTTTAACTTTCCAAATTTCAAAATGGCGACCGTTTGAGTTTTTTAATGCCAAATTTCATGAAAACCGGTACCTAAATCAAAATTTTGTAAGACACAAAAGTTTTAGTATTTATTATGACAAATCCAACAAAACAAAAATGAATAAAATCGGTTCATAAATAAAGAAGCTGTGTTTATTTTAGTAATTTAGACTGAAATTACTTAATACGTTACATAAATTATTACATTACATTTAATACATTTTAATATTAATAATTTCAGTCTAAATTACTAAAATAAACACAGCTTCTTTATTTATGAACCGATCATAACTGCAGTTATTGTGACCCATCATTTCAGACTACTTTTTTATGCTGAATTCAATGCCGCAATCCGTTTTTGTTTCTCAGGCTTTCTTGATGAAATATTAAAATTATCTTACTTAAATTTCCAATATTAAAAAAAAAAAAATATGAAAATGCAAAACAGATTGCGGCATTAAATTCAGCATAAAAAAGTAGTCTGAAATGATGGGTCACAACACCACCTTCATATTTAAATTAATTTATCACATTTTAAAATGGCAGATCCAAGATGGTGGCCAAAGAAATACATCCGTCATAACCAAGTGATAATAGGTCGACAATAAATGGTGGTGTATACTTATCTTTATCTAGCACTATTTTGAGATTATGGTCTTAGTTTGTAAATGCACAATGTTAAAATGGGCTAAAAATAAAGTTATAAAAAGTCCTCATAACTTTAGAACGGATCAAGATTTTTTAAAACGAATTGCGGCATTGTAATCAGCGTAAAATTCTAGTTTG